CTCCAATATCTTTTAAAGATTTATTTATTTATTTGAAAGTCAGAGTTATACACACAGAGAGAGAGAGAGGCAGAGAGAGAGAGAGAAGTCTTCCATCTGCTGGTTCACTCCCCAAATGGCTGCAATGGCCAGGAGCCGTGCCAATCGAAAGCCAGTAGCCAGGAATTACTCTTGGTCTTCCATGGAGTGCAGGGTCTAAGGACTTGGGCCAACTTCCGCTGCTTTCCTAGGCCATAGCAGAGAGCTGGATCGGAAATGGAGCAGGCAGGACTCAAACTGGTGCCCATAGATGTCAGCACCACAGGCAGTGGCTTTACCTACTACGCTGTAGTGCCAGCCGTGCTTCTCTAATTTTTATTATTTCTTTTCTCCTACTAGTTTTGGGTTTGTTTGCTATTGTTTTTCTAGATCCTTGCAATGCATTAATAGCTCATTTATTTGGTGCTTTTCCAGTTTTTTGATGTAGGCACCTATTGCTACATACTTTCCTCTAACACTGCTTTTGCCGTATCCCATAAATTTTAATATGTAGTGTTGTTATCTTCATTTACTTCCAAAAATATTTTGATTACTTCTATGGCCCACTATTCACTCAAGAGCATGTTGTTCAGTCTCCATGTGTTTGCATATGTTCTATAGATTCTGGAGTTACTGATTTCCACCTTCATTGCATTTTGGTCCAGGTTCATTGCATTGATGCATGGTATGATTTCGATTTTTTTTTTAATTTGCTGAGACTTGTTTTATGGCCTAGCATATGGTTAATCCTAGAGAAAGTTCCATGCACAGGTGAGATGTATGTATATTCTGCATTGTAGGATGAAAAGTTCTGTAGATATCTGTCAGGTCCATTTGGTGTATAGTGTCAATTAACGCTGGTGTTTCCTTGCTGATTTTCTGTTGGGTGATCTGTCCATTGCTGAAAGTGCGGTATTGAAATCCCCCATTACTATTGTATTTGAGTCTGTGTTTCCCTTTAGATCCCTTAATGTTTCTTTTAAATAGGCAGGTGCTCTGTAATTAAGGGTGCATATACATTTATAATATTTGCATCTTCCTGTGGAATTAATCCCTTAATCATTACATAGTGTCCTTCTTTGTCTCATTTAACAGTTTTTGTGTTAAAGTCTATTTTGTCTGATATTACAATAGCTACACCAGCTCTTTTTTGGTTTCTGTTAGCATGGACTATCTTTTTCCATCCTTTCAATTTTAGTCTACATGCATCTTTGTTGGTGAGATGTGTTTTCTGTACACAGCAAATAGATGGGTTTTGTTTTTTAATCCATTCAGCCAGTCTGTCTTTTAACTGGAGAGTTGAGGCCATTTACATTCAAGGTGATTATTGCTAAGCAACAGCTTTGGCCTGCCATTTTTCCATAAATACTCCTCTTTTTTACTTTGGGTTTCCTTTGTACTTTTACCGGGAGCTTTCCTTCCTTTACATTCTTCCATAGTGATGGCCATGTATCTGTGTTTGTATGTGTAGCACATCTTTAAGGATCTTTTGTAGGGCTGGACTGGTGGTGACAAATTCTTTCAGTTTCTTTTTGTCAAGGAAGGTCTTTATTTTACCTTCATTCATAAATGAGAGCTTTGCAGGGTACAGTATTCCTGGTTGATAGTTTTTTTCTCCTAAGACTTGGAATATATCTCACCATCCTCTGCTAGCCTGTAGGATTTCTGATGAGAAGTCTGCCGTTAGTCTAATTGGAGATCCTCTGATAGTAATCTGGCATTTCTCTCATGCACATTTTAGAATCTTTTCTTAATTTTATTTATTTATTTATTTGATTTTTTGGACAGGAAGAGTTAGTGAGAGAGAGAGACAGAGAGAAAGGTCTTCCTTTTTCCGTTGGTTCACCCCCCAAGTGGCCACTATGGCTAGCACTTTGCGGCTGGCGCACTGCGCTGATCCGAAGCCAGGAGCCAGGTGCTTCCTCCTGGTCTCCCATGTGGGTGCAGAGCCCAAGCACTTGGGCCATCCTCCACTGCACTCCCGGGCCACAGCAGAGAGCTGGACTGGAAGAGGAGCAACTGGGACAGAATCTGGTGCCCCAACCGGGACTAGAACCCAGGGTGCTGGTGCCGCAGGCGGAGGATTAGCCTAGTGAGCCGTGGCACCAGCCTAGAATCTTTTCTTTATGTTTTACTGTGGAGTGTTTGATTACAATGTGTTGTGGTGGTGATCTTTTCTGGTCATGTCTATTAGGAGTTCTATTTTCTTCCTGTACTTGGATGCCCCTTTCTTTCTCCAAATTGGGGAAATTTTCTGTTATTATTTCACTTAAAAGGCCTTCTAGGCCAGCACCGCAGCTCACTAGGCTAATCCTCCGCCTGCGGCACTGGCACCCTGTGTTCTAGTCCTGGTTGGGGCGCCAGATTCCGTCCCGGTTGCTCCTCTTCCAGTCCAGCTCTCTTCTGTGGCCCAGGAAGGCAGTGGAGGATGGCCCAAGTGCTTGGGTTCTGCACCTGCATGAGAGACCAGGAGGAAGCACCTGGCTCCCGGCTTTGTAGCAGCCATTTGGGGGGTGAACCAACGGAACAAGACCTTTCTCTCTTTCTCTCCCTCTCTCACTGTCTAACTCTGCCTGTAAAAAAAAAAAAAAAAGATAAAAAAAGGCCTTTTAATTCTTTCTTTCCATACCTTCAGGAATTCCTACAACGCATATGTTGGGTCGTTGATGGTAGCTTGTAGATTCCCAACAGTGTATTTTAGTTTCCTAATTTCTTCTGCTTGTGTTTGGTCTGACTGTATAATTTCCTGTGCTTTGTATTCTAAGTCATATATTTTTTCTTCTGATTTACCTATTCTGTTGTTAAGGCTCTCCATTGCATTTTTAATTTGTTCTATTGAATTCTTCATTTCTAAGATTTCATTTTAATTTCTCTATAAGATCTCAATTTCATGGGAGAAATTGTCTTTGATGTCATGTATGGATTTCATTTGTTCATGCATTTGCTTCTCATTACTTCTAAGTAATCTTATGATCAATTGTTTGAATTCCATTTTTGTCATTTCTTCAATCTCATCATCTTCACAATCTAGTACTGAGGTGTTGTATTCTTTTGAAGATGTCATGTTGTCTACCTTGTTCTTGGTTGGTGTATTTGGTATTTGTGGGAATACTTGTTGGTTTGTTCTTTGATTTTTTTTTCTCAGTGGTGGCTTTATCTTTTGACTATATCTGATTGAATTATTGCAGGGTCTGCTTTCAGGGAATAACTAGAGGTGCATGGTTGAAGTGGCCAGGGAGCTCTGTTCAGTGCTCCAGGGAGAAAGACATGTCTGAGGTGACATACCCAGGTTTGGTGTGGTAATTTTTTTTTTTTTTCAATCAGAGGGGAGGTTTCTTCTTGTCTGTTGGTTTAGACTAAGCTGAACTCCTCTCCTCCAAGGAGATCAGCCCTGTGAGCATATTATTAGTCCACTCTGCCACAAGGACCACACAAAGGATCTGTTCTGTCCTCAGTGTAAGCTCAGATTCCCCAGCAATGTCTCTCACCAGGTAACCAGGGAGCCCTGATCTTGTGGCACCTCCCACAGTGACTGCCCAGTGTCCCAGCCACACCCTGAGTCCTCCCACGCAGCCTCAGTGTTTCCACAGTCCTGGCACACAAGCCTCCCACAGTCACGAGCACCCAGCCCCCTATCTGTTCTCCCCACCAGACTCAGGAGTCTCCACTTGACTGGATGCTGGGTGTGGACACAAGCTGGTGCAGCTGTTATGTTTGTCCAAAATGGCGCCTGCTCTCTGTCAGCTTGTTACAGGATGCCTTTGCAGGATGATCAGGGAGAGAGGAAATGTGCCCCCCCCATTTGTTTTTTTCTCTTCTAGTTTGGTGGGTACACTGTCCCCACAACCACATTCCACCCACAACCTGGATTCCCTCTAGGCTCTTCCTGCAGCTTTTTTGCCAGTGGATTGAGTTACTGAAGTCTGGTCTCACCTTACTCTCCAACATTGGTATGGAGGCTCTTGGCTGATGGGATCCTGAGTTGTGCATGTCTTTGCCCTGCACATAGGTCCACTGTGTTCCTCCAACTTGTGTAGAATTTCCTCTGCTGTTTTCTCCCTAATTCTTCCCTAAGACTACTCTTTCCACTTTTTAAAACTGTCTTCTCCTAGACTTGAGCAGCAAGCTCCCTCCCTACTCCACCATCTTAATTCAATCCTTTTTTTTTTAAGATTTTATTTATTTATTTGAGAGGTAGAGTTACAGACAGTGAGAGGGAGAGACATAGAGAAAGGTCTTCCATCTGCTGGTTCACTCCCCAAATGGCTGGAGCTGAGCCAGGAGCCAGAAGCTTCTTCCAGGTCTTCTATGTGGATGCAGGGGCCCAAGCATTTGGGCCATCTTCCACTGATTTCACAGGCCATCAGCAGAGAACTGGATTGGAAGAGGAGCAGCCAGGACATGAACCGGCACCCATGGGAGGCCAGGGCTGCAAGTGGAAGCTTATTCTACTGCACCACAGCACCAGCCCCTCACCTTTCTTAATATGTACATACACATCTAGATGTGTTGATCATGTCTCCGTGGAAAACACTGTTACTTTGTGTTCCGCCCTGTTCCACATTCCCCAGAAAGCCCAGTGACTGGTCATAGTTCCTTTAGAATGCAGTAGCAAAATGCCATAAACTAGGTGGCCTGTAGTTCACAGAAGTTTATTCCCCATATTTCTGAAGTGGGGAAGTCCAGGATCTTGGTATGGGCAGATTGGGTGTCTGGTGAGGGTTGGCTTTTTGGTTGATAGATGATGCATTCTCACTGTGCCTTCATGCGGTGGCAGGGGTAAGGCAGCTCTCTGGGAGCACCGATGGGAGCACTAATCCCATTTGTGACAGCTGTGCTTTCCCAACCTAATTACCTCCCCAAGGCCTCGCCTCCTCATGCTATCACCTTGGGAGTGAGGGTTTTAACATTTCCTTTCTGGCCACAGCACAAGTAGATGTTGTCTTTGAGACCTGACCAGTGCTCTCCTTCCCACCCTGCAGGTGAGCTGATCAACCTTGCCATGTACTGTGAGAGGATAAGGAGGAAGTTCTGGCCCGAGTGGCACCACGGTGATGACAACACCATCTATGAGTCTGAGGAGAGCAGCGAAGGCAGCAAAACCCATACCCCGCTGCTGGATTTTAGCTTTTACTCAAGGACAGAGACCTTCGAAGATGAGGGAGCAGAGAACAGTTTTTCCAGAACCCCTGACACGGATTTCACAGGACACTCGCTCTTTGATTCGGATGTGGACATGGATGACTGCACAGACCACGAACAGTGCAAGTGATGTCCAGCCTCTCTGACTGTTTTCCTTTGGAGCTGCCACTCCCTGGGGCCGGGCAAGTTCCCCAGGTGGAAATTCATCAAGTTGGGAGGAGACCTTCATGCTTGGCAGAGTTTTCACTCACTAACTGGACTAGAGCCGCCTTATTTCTTTTTTGTACAAAGAACCATTCAGATGGCTCCATTTAAAACAAACAGGCAAAAAACAAAAGTCAGCATGGTTCTTGACATCCATTTTTGTTTTCATTAGAAAACCAATATGGGTGGTAGAGCAGGTGGAAGAGCGGGTTGTCCATGGGTAGCATTTATGTTGATTCTCTGCAGCCTGAGGGCTTAGTTGTGAGATGGACTCTTGAATATCCTTCCTTCACCAGAGTTTGAAGTAAGGAGCGGTATCATCAGAAAAAAAATGTAGGTGAGAAATGCTCTGTGGTGGCTGCTTGTATTTTATGTGTGTATATTGTATGTTAAGATGTGTGTCAAATAAAATGCAGATATTCAATGAACACCTGCTATGTGCAAAGCACTGTGCTAGGTGCTAATCAGTAGTTCATTCTAAGCCCTGCCAGTGATTCGCTGTGTGATTTCAGGCAAGTCCTATGACTATTGTGTGCCTCATTTCTCCCACCTGTAAAGTGGGGATGACAATACTCTCCACCTACCTACCTCACAGGGGTGTTGTGGGGATTCACGTGGTGAAATTGTATGGCGCTTTGAGCCTCTTGGAAGTGGTGCGATATGAACACAACATTTTATTCTTCATTGTGCTTCATGTGAGTGAAGATTTGAGGGCAAAGGAATTCCATAATCCAGGCAACAACAGCCACAGTCACTAGCAAAAGCTGAGCACACAAAGGCACTCCTAGGAATTTGTCATCATTCCTCTTTGTGATCTAGTTTGAATTGAAATCATTTGTTGAAAGAACCTTGGAAATATTTTTACGAATCAACAACTCCAACAGTCTTCAGTTCTACTGTGTATCTGCAGAGAAGGGTTTCATTGTCTGAACTCACACTGGAATGCTGTTCCAGAGTGTTAATAAGCTGCCTATGTTTGAAAGATTTGGAGAGAATAAAGCTCAGGAATATGATGGGTTTAATAGAGGTGAAAGGGCAAGTATTTGATTTTTGTAAGCCGAAGCTTGCCAACTTGTAATGTCTTTTTGAAAACAAAGGTGTGTTGAAAATACAGAAAATACAAAGGAGGAAAATCATGTTATATGTATCAGAGCATTCTGTCCCGTGATAGACTATATGCAGTTTCCTTAATGCAGTTTTTGTGATGTTGTTAGACATTGCTTAGTGAGAGGAGGGCGACACTGAGGACACATCTTATGCTTCTTAAGGATCTTCCATCCCTCCCTTCTCTGTCTTCCCTCTCCTCCCTGCAGGGCATGCGTGCTGTTGGGTTTCTGATATTTACAAAGGCACTCTGTCTTCGAAGATACCAATTTTTGTTGACTTGGAACTTTTTTTGGGGGGAAATGAAAGGTGAAGATCCTGGATGATGGCTGTGGATCTGGACTAGGAGACCCACTGTTGAGATTTACGGCTGCAAGTGAAACTGCTTTGCTTCTTCCTGATCGGGGAAGGATTACTCATTATGGTTTAAAGAGGCACTTCTGGAAACATGATGTCTGTGAGATTCATGTACTTTACTTGAAAAAACTCTGGATATAGCATTTGCAAAAACAACCTTGTAAGACTGCCATGGATGCACAAGGAGTATCAGAGAGGACAATTTTTGAGGCTGTTTACCAGTTAAGCAATTGTGGGCGGGCACATGTAACTGGGAATAATTGCTGAGATATCCTAAAACCTCACCCTCCAGGAAAAGGAGCTGTTAGTACCTTATTAAAGCCATGAATTGAAGGGACTGTTTGATGCCTAATGAGAATGTGGTGGGGAATATGTAATAGATAACACTCTTTGGAGTCAATAGTGTCATTTGGGAGGACTGTTTGCTGCCTCCATCCCTAACCAGTGTGTTTTTAGGCCAGCTGGTGGCAGTTCTGCATGACAAGGGAAACTCTGGTCTGAAAATATGAATATAATGAACAGGTGGACTATGCCTGACTACTCAAAGTTTGAGTTGCCCTTCCCCCCACCCTCAGCTGGAAAGAATTATGTTTGGAATTTTGCCTACCAACAACTTATTCTTACTGTATAGCACCAAATATGATGTCTTTTCACTTCAAAAATGATATGAGTAAGCCGGCGCCGTGGCTCAATAGGCTAATCCTCCACCTTGCGGCGCCGGCACACCGGGTTCTAGTCCCGGTTGGGGCGCCGGATTCTGTCCCGGTTGCCCCTCTTCCAGGCCAGCTCTCTGCTATGGCCAGGGAGTGCAGTGGAGGATGGCCCAGGTGCTTGGGCCCTGCACCCCATGGGAGACCAGGAAAAGCACCTGGCTCCTGGCTCCTGCCAGGATCAGCGCGGTGCGCCGGCTGCAGCGGCGGCCATTGGAGGGTGAACCAACGGCAAAAGGAAGACCTTTCTCTCTCTGTCTCTCTCTCACTGTCCACTCTGCCTGTCAAAAAAAAAAAAAAAAAAAAAAAAAAAATGATATGAGTATGTAGATTTGTATATATTTTTTAATTGTGCATTATGTGGAAGGCAGGTATGAAGAGAGCCAGTTTTCCAAGTGGAGCTGTAACCACTCATTCCATCCAGGTACCTCCCACAGGGCGTGAAATGGACATTGCCAGCTGGAGTCTTGGGTACTTCTGTGGCGGCTTAAGATTAGGCATGCAACTTGCTGTAGGTGAAAACTTTATTTGGAACTCTAGAATATACCCCAGCATGGGTTATGGAAACAAAATGACCAAGACAAACTGTGGTATGACTATTTGGAGGGCTTTAATTGTATTTGCTTCATTTTTAAGCCACCCAGGTTTGAAGTGTTCTCTTGATGAACAGGTGCTACTTATAAGAAAACAAACAAAAGAAAATTAGGGAACATTTTGGTCATCTGGCTCACATGTTCAAAAATCTCTATTTTCTTTTTACTGGAAAATAACTTTAATACTAGCATATGCCTTGGGTTGGACAGAAGATCCCTGGGCCACTTCTACTTTTTTTAACCTCTCATTGAAAAAATAAACTTTGCCCTTATATCTACTAATTTTTGGCCCATAGTCTTGTTAGTATTAATGAGCAGCAGCTGTATGCTTTTCTGTCCATCAGAAGAGCTATGAGGACAACATAAGTTTATGCAGAGGTAAAGTACATTATCACAGATACCACAGTGACACTACCAAGGACATGGGCTACCCAGAGAACTCATTGCAGACTTACAACAACTTAGACTTAAATCACAACTACAGTATACTCTAAGTGAATCTCGCGTGTGTATATGAAGATATTAGGATATATTTCTATGAAACAGAGTTCAAGGACAGGAAGTGCTTAGGATTTTAGTTTCATGGGTCTTGCCTAGATTTGTTTGAGAAAAAGTTTAGAACAGTTCAGATGTATAGCCAGGGCAAGGATTAGCTCTCGACAGCTCCCAACAAGAGGGGCCCTGAGGTTGTTACTTATCTGAAGGGTAGCCACAGAGCTCAAGCCTTTCACTTGCCCCAGATGACACTTTCTGTTCTACTTCTCTGGTGTGGTTTCCTTGTAAAATCTATGCTCCTCAAGAAATCATTCCATGTTCACAGAATCAGCATACCCCCTGTCTCTCCCAGTGTGCTTAGACAACTCCTCCATGTTTGTCTTGTGTGTCATTCACACAGGATGGGCCATGCCAATTAAAGAGACTTTTCCTAAGTGTCTGCTCTGTGCATGGCACTGTTGGGCTCTGTAAATAATAGACTGGATTTCCAAACCTCTAAGACTCCCCATTCTTTCTGGTCAATCTTGTAAAGAATCCATGTCCATAAACTCATTCACAAAATATTTTCTGAGCAGCTACCCTATGCCTGGCCTTTGGATCCACACTGTGTATAGTATAGAGTAGTGAGCCAAGCGGATATGGTCCTCTAATTTCATGGCATCTTTTTTTGCCCAAACTTCTGCCATAGCCTCATTTACATGCTTGACCACCTGTTCATCCATCCCTTGCATCAAACTGGACTGTTTGTAAAAGCTCTCTGACCCAGAGGGGCTGCTGCATAACTTGCTGATAAGGGTTACCCCTTAGGGCCAGTATCCTCACTTCACTGACCCTGTCTCTCTGACTCCTCCATGTGGGTATCTGGTACAGCCAAGTTGACCCATTTGGCTCTGCCTACACTTGCCTCAAGTGAACCCCCATCCCTGCACCTCTGCTCCTGCCAGTCCCTCTCTGGAAATTTCCACCCCCCTCTCCACTGGCCAAATCATATCTCTTAAGGCCCACCTCCATCAAATCCACACAAAATCTTCCCAGCTCATTATTTTACTGTGAGAACAAAGCACTCATTATTTCCTTCCATGAAGGCTGCATGGAGAAAGTATGCTCAGAACATGGGCTACATGCTATAAGTAGTGGTTTTTCCTTTTTTTTGGTAAGTGTCCAGGAATTTCGTCGATAAACTAATGAAACTCCTGCACCCTTTTTTCAAAAAAATAATATAAACACCTAAAACTTTACAAATTCAGATTTAGAGACTTGAAATTGTCCTTGAATTCCTTAGCGGGTTCATGGACCCCAGTTAAAGAGGTCTTGTTCTAGAGTCTTTAAATATTGTGGTTATCGATGTTGGTTCTTGTCTTTTAAATACCCAGAGAAGAGAGAAACTGGTTGAGATACACAAGGAAAAAGAATCTCTATACACTCTAGTATGTGCTGAATGACCAAGAAGGAAGAAAGAATAATTTGCTTTATCTGAGAAGTTATCTTTGCTTTATGGTTTTGGAATTTTGAAAGTGATAGAGTTTTGTTATTGTTGTCAATATCGCTTATCTTTTAAAAACCCAAAAACTTGATTTATCAAAATGAGTTCAGGATCAAGGGAGCTTCATTTCAGCCCTGAAACCTGGCACTTCCCCATGGGTAGACCAGTCAGCCTGTGGCCTCTGAGGCTGGGTTTTTCCTTACAGGACAAGGGTCTGCACAATCATTTTTCTATACTAATTGAACAATTCATAGAACAATTGTTGAGTGTATTTTCAATAAATAGATAGTGCCTTTTTTGTTGATTGGGAACAACTCAGGTTATTCTTCCATTTATTTTTTTAAATAGTGGAGTTATTTTTATCGTTCCTGCCTGCCTATGATCCAGGATTCTTTGCTTTCCTTTATATGTGCATACTAAGTCAAACAAGAGCTGGTGGAAGCATTTTCAATGACAGTTCTTCCAGATCTAAATGCTGGACTCTGGCAACCCATTTTTAACAGGTCAGGGGTCAAATTGCATGTGCCCTTTATCCAGGTGTTTCCAGTGGTCTGAATGACCCTTGAAAAATCCTCAAGGATTGTCTCGGTGGGTGGGATGAAAGGTGCTGCTTGTCTTTAGGATTCTTGTTAGTGTCAGGACTAGTTGTAAACACATGAGAAATGTTTTCCTCATTTGAATTCCTCATGGGGAACTTAGGTTCCTTACTTTCACACTATTTTAATAAAGTTTTCTTAAGGCAAGATGCTAGACGAGCAACAAGCAACGTATGGGCCTTGCACCTTGCAGATGGTGATAGAGGTTACTGAAAAATGGCTTCAAGGAAAGAGTCTCGTGTGTTTTGGAGCTGACCCTGTGAATTCCTCAACCATTTTTGCTTTTGTAGGGAACCTGTCCCCAGATCCAGGCTCTCCTAAACTCCTGCTGCTGGCTACACCGTGACATACCAAGATCTCAAATTTCATGAGGATTGTGGCACCAAACTGTCAAATCTGTAGATAAATAAAGGGGACCATTGCAGTAATCAAATAGCTCATCTGTGGTCTAGCCAGCACCTAACTCCTAATATTGGTGCAGAAACACATTATCTATAGTAAATGATTGGCATAGTACTTTGGTTTTCTGGACACAATATGATAATTTCAGCAATGAATTAATGATCATCTTGCATTTTAAAAATCATGATTGTCTCTCCTTATAGCTTTAAATATTTAAAAAATCCATTAAATGTAGAGCAAGGTGTATTTATCACAACTAGTTAATTGTATAAAAGGTAGTGTTATTAAATGCGACTAATTGCCTCCCACTCCCCACTGGCAAGCGTTTGCTTTGGTTTATTTATTTATACTTCATGGCAATACAGTAGCTTTTATTTATCAGTAATATTTAAACTTTATTCCTTCTCTAGTACATTTTTTTTTAATTTGACAGATAGAATTAACAGTGAGAGAGACAGAAAGAAAGGTCTTCCTTCCATTGGTTCACCCTCCAAATGGCCGCTACAGCGGGAGCTACACCGATCCGCAGCCAGGAGCCAGGTGCTTCTCCTGGTCTTCCATGCGGGTGCAGGCGCCCAAGTACTTGGGCCATCCTCCACTGCCTCCCTGGGCCACAGCAGAGAACGGGACTGGAAGAGGAGCGACCGGGACTAGAACCCGGCACCCATAATGAATGCCGGCGCCACAGGCGGAAGATTAGCCAAGTGAGCATGGCGCTGGCCCCTTTCTCTAGTACATTTTAAAAATTGCCTCATAGCTAAAACAATAGAATCTAGCATGCATGTTAATTAGTGATGGACAAACAAATGGAGCATATAATTGTTCATAGGAGAGCTAGAAAAGAGGAAAGCTCTGAGCATTTAGTGTCTCCTTCTATGGAACAATCTATGGACTTTGCTCTTTAATAGTTGTGAAAGATTGGAAGAGTTCCTTTGTATTTGCTCTACCCCCGTATAAGAGATCACATTTGGCTTATTATTAACCATGTCCAAATGATTGTATTTTTACCTTTAACTTACATCTGATTTTTTTTGCCATAGTAATATTGAAAACA